GCAATTCAATTTCCTGAAATTCATTTCATTTCCACCCAATTTTATTCTTGTAATCAAACGGAGCCTAAGATTTTCATATTTTTCTCGTTTTTCCTTAATATCCGGTGATGTACTTTAATTCTTTCTTGTATTTCTATTCTCCCATAATGTGTAATTAAGCATTTAGTTAGGATGAATGATTGTCACCTGGTTTTGAACCTTATTTTAATTAAGAAAAATTAAATCACCAACTAATTTTGTGAAAAAAAAAATTTACTTCCAATCTTAATGATTGGATTAATTCACCACTAATTTATTGATTTTGTGAACAATAATTATGTAATACCCAGACCAGGAAAGGTTAAAAGATTTGATAGGTACTACTCATACCAATAAGGTGCACCTTCTTTTTTGAAAATCCATCGTTAAAAACTCTACAGTTAAGCGTGCTTGATTTGGAGCAATTCTATGATGAGTGACTCCCTGAGAAGTTTTCTTGGGAAGCGTGCGAGTGAGGACAAAGCATGCTGAAAAGACTCATGTGGTATAGTGAGAACGGTACGTCGTCGATCTAACGACCGGGACAGCCCGTTAAGTAGGACCCTGGTCGTTACAAATGGTATCAGAGCCCGATTGCCAGCCGTAAATCGGGAACTAAGTGCTATGCAGGATAAAGTGCTACGCCATAGGGCGAGAGCCACCTCTTGAACCCGTAAGAGCCACCTCTAGAATCCCAACGCCTGGCAACAGATCCTCAGATGTATCAAGTGCGACGAGGACGTCGCGAGTCTAACGGGGGGTGATCGTGATACCCAGACCAAGAAAGTTTAAAAGATTTGATAGGTACTACTCATACCAACAAGGTGCACCTTCTTTTTCAGAAGTCCATCGTTAGAAACTCTACAGTTAAGCGTGCTTTGCTTGGAACAATTCTATGATGGGTGACCCCTTAGGAAGTTTTCTCGGGGAGCGTACAAGTGAGGACAAAGCATGCTGAAAAGATCCATGTTGGTACAGTGAGAACAGTATATCGTCGATCTAAAGGCATGACAGTCAGTTAAGTGGGACCCGGGTCGTTACAAATTACGTATATATGCAGATTATTTGTTTAGACCACATAGTATCAATAATGTAATATAAAATGTAGATATATTTATGCTAGTTATTACGATCATTACATGAATTTTTAGAACAACTATTGCGGTTAACTAATATTGATTTACATAGAGATATGTAATTAAAGTAATTAAATAGATTCAATGACAACTCGAGATGGGTAAATTGAATATTTTAGAAGAATTCGATCGAGTAAACATAATCAATTGTATAAAACTTGGTAATTGTTGAGATTAATGGGATAACGTGGTAAAATCATGAATCCTAACACTTAAATTATCATATTAAAAAATCACTTTTATTTTAGTATATTTAAAATAGAAATTTACAAAAAGAAAAATGAGAATTTTTTATTTTTTCGATCAAATTGAAGCTAGGAATAATTAAATCAATTGTTAGATAGTAGTAATCGTGGAAACGATATCTGGACTCATTTGTCCACTTTATTACTTGTTACGATCCGTATACTATGGGATATAAAAATCGACAACATATCTAAATGCACACAAAAATAAAATTAGGTTTTTAAAATATGAAAAAGATATTAGGGCATACAATTTCATTTATTGATTATATTTAATTCTTTAATCAAGATTCAAAACATAATGTAGTGCTCGATCGTATTCTTCTAATGTATTTAATTTATCACTCTTGAGTTCAAATTCATTCTATTTAACAAAATCAATTACACATCTCTATGTGAATCGGGATATACATTAGTCAATTTCTAAGAATCCATGAAAAAAGATATCATTAACTACAAATGTATCTTTGCGCTTTTATATTAGTTCTGAATTTTATAGTTTTACTACGTGGTCTAAATCAATAACTCACTTCTCAACTTGTAATAGATTCACAAAATCAATAAATAATTGGCCAAAAAATGCAAGCATTAAACAATATAAATAAAATCAACGCATGAATTAAAAAACTAGAATCTTGAAAATTGAATTAAAGGGTCTCAATAAACTACATTGTTAGCCCTAATAAAATATTTAACTACTCATNGCACCTTCTTTTTTGAAAATCCATCGTTAAAAACTCTACAGTTAAGCGTGCTTGATTTGGAGCAATTCTATGATGAGTGACTCCCTGAGAAGTTTTCTTGGGAAGCGTGCGAGTGAGGACAAAGCATGCTGAAAAGACTCATGTGGTATAGTGAGAACGGTACGTCGTCGATCTAACGACCGGGACAGCCCGTTAAGTAGGACCCTGGTCGTTACAAATGGTATCAGAGCCCGATTGCCAGCCGTAAATCGGGAACTAAGTGCTATGCAGGATAAAGTGCTACGCCATAGGGCGAGAGCCACCTCTTGAACCCGTAAGAGCCACCTCTAGAATCCCAACGCCTGGCAACAGATCCTCAGATGTATCAAGTGCGACGAGGACGTCGCGAGTCTAACGGGGGGTGATCGTGATACCCAGACCAAGAAAGTTTAAAAGATTTGATAGGTACTACTCATACCAACAAGGTGCACCTTCTTTTTCAGAAGTCCATCGTTAGAAACTCTACAGTTAAGCGTGCTTTGCTTGGAACAATTCTATGATGGGTGACCCCTTAGGAAGTTTTCTCGGGGAGCGTACAAGTGAGGACAAAGCATGCTGAAAAGATCCATGTTGGTACAGTGAGAACAGTATATCGTCGATCTAAAGGCATGACAGTCAGTTAAGTGGGACCCGGGTCGTTACAAATTACGTATATATGCAGATTATTTGTTTAGACCACATAGTATCAATAATGTAATATAAAATGTAGATATATTTATGCTAGTTATTACGATCATTACATGAATTTTTAGAACAACTATTGCGGTTAACTAATATTGATTTACATAGAGATATGTAATTAAAGTAATTAAATAGATTCAATGACAACTCGAGATGGGTAAATTGAATATTTTAGAAGAATTCGATCGAGTAAACATAATCAATTGTATAAAACTTGGTAATTGTTGAGATTAATGGGATAACGTGGTAAAATCATGAATCCTAACACTTAAATTATCATATTAAAAAATCACTTTTATTTTAGTATATTTAAAATAGAAATTTACAAAAAGAAAAATGAGAATTTTTTATTTTTTCGATCAAATTGAAGCTAGGAATAATTAAATCAATTGTTAGATAGTAGTAATCGTGGAAACGATATCTGGACTCATTTGTCCACTTTATTACTTGTTACGATCCGTATACTATGGGATATAAAAATCGACAACATATCTAAATGCACACAAAAATAAAATTAGGTTTTTAAAATATGAAAAAGATATTAGGGCATACAATTTCATTTATTGATTATATTTAATTCTTTAATCAAGATTCAAAACATAATGTAGTGCTCGATCGTATTCTTCTAATGTATTTAATTTATCACTCTTGAGTTCAAATTCATTCTATTTAACAAAATCAATTACACATCTCTATGTGAATCGGGATATACATTAGTCAATTTCTAAGAATCCATGAAAAAAGATATCATTAACTACAAATGTATCTTTGCGCTTTTATATTAGTTCTGAATTTTATAGTTTTACTACGTGGTCTAAATCAATAACTCACTTCTCAACTTGTAATAGATTCACAAAATCAATAAATAATTGGCCAAAAAATGCAAGCATTAAACAATATAAATAAAATCAACGCATGAATTAAAAAACTAGAATCTTGAAAATTGAATTAAAGGGTCTCAATAAACTACATTGTTAGTCCTAATAAAATATTTAACTACTCATAATGAATGAAGAAAAACAAAGAATAATAATTAGGTACATTTAAGATGTAGAGAAGTTGAATTTTGGACCAAGATATCTTCTTCGTCAAATCAATGCGTATACCGTAAAATCGATTTTCGACGGAATAAAAAAGACATATATGGTAGAATCGTAACCATAGAATACGACCCTAATCGAAATGCATACATTTGTCTCATACACTATGGGAATGGTGAGAAGAGATATATTTTACATTCTAGAGGGGCTATAAAGTGAGATTTCGAGTAAGTGTTTACGTAGTCTTCTTCTATCCGAAGAAATGATTCATCGAAATAATGAGTCACATTGATATCGACACATTTGAGATCGCCAAATGTTCAAGATACCACCACTGATAAACACCAGAATAAGCGATATCCACCGGGCCAAGAGCACCCCTCAAGTAAAAGCTTCCATTGCCGGTTGACCAAAATGAGGATCCCTTTTCTTTGATGTTTTCTCTCTTTAATTTGCGTGTTCCTCCTTTAAAAGTGCCCCTCTAGATGTATTTATACCTTTTTCTAAATGTTGGACGAGTTTGAAGTCGTTCTGGGATTTGAACGGGCCAAGAATTTAAAACCCTAGAGAAGATGACGCGGCTCCTAGGCGCTAAAGAGCAACGTCTAAGTGTCGCGATAGAGTTTTGGCTGGCTCTTGGGCGCCATGGTCTTGGCACCTGGATGCCAACTTGCTACTTCTTCCGGCTGACTTTGAGGCACCTTGGCACTCTATTTGTAGCACATGAGCACTATACTTCTGTACTTTTTCTCCCTCAGCTGTGTTGATGGGTGCTTGGGAGCCATGTTACTTCGAATAATCTGGCCCATCTAATTACATTCCTTTATTTTTCTTCATCTTTGCCTCTTTCTTCGCCTCTTTTGCATTGTTTTCAAGACATTTTCTCGCCGTTTCACATTCTCATCATCTTTGACTCCATCAAATTCTTTCTTCACCAATTTACCTAATTTATAAAACAAAACTAAAAAACACATCGAAACATTCTAAAATTTTAAGAATCAAACAATATATCAAGTTTAATTAGCATTAAAAGTGAAAACACACTCATCACCCGGTGTTAGAGCTAATCCCAAGTCATCCTATAGAGAAAACATGGTTCATCAAAGGCATTTTTGGTTCAGGATCGAATAGTACCAGACAATATTAACGATAAAAATAAACAAAATGCACTAGTTATAATGAAACGATAATAAGAACTTAAATAAACGCCATTTGTTCACAGTGATGCTTTAGTCTTCACTACCTCATAATTCACGAAAATGTTACCACCGCTAGAACTAACTTTTTTTCATCTAAAAGTTATTCAAATATATTTGAAAACGAAAAGTTACTGAAAAGTAACTTCACTTCTTTCAAGGTTAGCCAAACATGCTCCTAAGAACTCGAAAAAGTGCACACCCACGCAAGCTCTATGTCGATCACATTTCCATTCCACTTGAGAAGGATGTTCCCTACAACCCATGTACAAATAATCTCAACTCGAACTGTCAACATGTAATCGAAATTTAGCTGACACGTCTGGTGTCCTCGTAAGTCATAAAAGTCGCATACTTGAGCCGATAAAGAGATTTAATTTCACAAATAGATAGTTAAAATTGAACGCACAATATAGTTCAAGTTTGCTCAAATATCAAATTCAATCATTTCTCTCATATAATCCACTTGTACCTAGGTGGGAGAGCATGGCGAGTAGGGTTCATTTAACCCTTGTTTGAGCCGCATTTAGAGAGAGAAAATTGAATTCTTGAATAGTGATTTTTGGATAATGTGTGATTAAAATGAAAAATAAAATCAATTTACGTGTAATATTATTTTATTAAAAAATGTATGGTTGAAAATAAATTTTATATAAAATAAGGCTCAAACCAAGGGCTTAATTTAAAATTTCATTTTCATACTCGACTCAAATTTGATTTATAAGAATTACTCAATTCTTGCTTAACCATCCACCATATACATGCGAGTATGCAAGACTAAAAGCAACTTATTGTGTGAATATGTAGTGATATGATTTGGCTCGAAAACATTGTTCATGAAATACTTATTTTATATAAGCTTAAAATTGGATATAGGAGCTCAAACATGTCTTCGCTACTCGTACAAGAAATACAGCTGACTTGATAAAGAGGACAACTTTAATGTCTTATCATTGACGAACCTTCCAACGTAATATCACTTGAGATCTCTAAATGGAGTGATTTTGAGGCCACAAACTATTTGGTCGTTAACTATATCTTTTTCAATTCAAAATATGCTTAAAGCATCACTCTGCATGAACTCCAACTTATAATTCATCGCAAAAATCACTTGGTTTGTTTAGGCATACAGAAATATGTCCATTACAGCAATCATGCAGACGGAATTTCAGAACATGAACATTTTTCAATTTCGAAAAATTAAACAATTATCTGCTCCTCCCATAAACAAGGTACTGCAAGAAGCCGTCTATATTTGCCTTACAAGAGACCGTATTACGTCACTTGAATTCCTGATGTGGATGATATGCTTCAGAAACTACGAGCATTTACTTCTAGTGTGATTGAAGAACTGAAAGTTTATGTACAAGTGTCTGCATGGACAATGGTCAAAACTCGATACCACTATTCAACTGAGCAGAAAAAGAAGGCCTGCCATAGTTGCCAAGAGGAGTTTCAACTTTGAACACTACCCCGGTGCTCCCCACATTTCCATTCCACTTGGACCTTCCAAGCTACATATGGGAATACAAAAAAATAAATAAATAATCATTTAGAATCGTTTATAAACAGATAATGGACGACAAACAATTACAATGCCACAACAGTTGAGTAGGACCCACTACTTTTACCTACTTTTAACTACACATCCTTCGGATCCATTGCTTATAAGCAGTTAAAAGTTTCGACAAACATGCACTAAACCAAGTCAGTAGCATTTTTTCAATAGCACGAAAGGCGATTTAAATTAGCTGAGGACTTAATAGGCACTCAGGCAGATAGATAAAAAACCAAAACAGGATCAGGGATAAAGCTTGAGTTAACCATTTAGATGTCAACAATCACCTTTCAAAAACTTAATGGTACTTCCTAAGTTAACTGATGTCTCCTGAGAAGCAAATTATCAATCTTTGCTCAACATTTTATTAAAGCATTAGCCAAACAGGGAATGTCAGAGAAATAACAAGGCGGCAGCAAACGACACATTTCGTGCTCTTACATCATTAAACAAGTAAAATTATTTTCAAAACTACGTTGAAGAAGTTGAGACAAACAAGACTGTAAAGTCTGCAAGCCTTGTGTTACATAAAGGGAAAGGGAAATATCCAGCATTCATAAGATAACAAGAAAACCCAGCAAGATATTGCTTTAAATAAACTATTTATCCCTATCAAAGCTTATCCAAACGTTTTGCCGAGTCTCATTCATATTAGCCAGCAATGAAAGCATACTAGGATCTACTACCCTTGTACAGCATAAATCATAGCCTTTTAAGGGACCACGATAACTTACAGATACTGATGCAAATGCAGAAGGATGGGTCGCAAGAGAACAGCCGCAGATAAGACTCAACTTCTCCTTTATAGAATGGGTAAATTCCACCCTTGTCCCAGGGTTGCTGCCGCCAAATGTAGGGCACAAACTGAAAATAATGTGAGAATGCACAAGGTCAGTAAAAGATTTTACTAGGCATATCGTTCCCATACCGCATTAAAGGTGTGGGAGGCAGATAAAACCCACTAACTTGAGTAGAGATATATTGCTTCTATTGTTATGCCTAACCAACCCCAGCACCACAATTAAAAAACAAAGAGCAAAGAAATGGATCATATAGAATGGATGAAGTGAAGTTGGTGAGCTGTACGATGGGAAACTACTGTACAATGGGAAACTATCTCCTGCGGTTCAGAGACATAACAGAACTATTATATTACAATAGAACTGCATGCAATATTAGCACTGCAAGTCTCAAATAAAGAAATAAAATAGTATCACCTGAACTGGATAGTTGGCCTCTCCAAGAGACCAGATCTCTTCCAAGCTAAAGCCTGTTCCAGGCCCAAAGTAAACGATTTATCGGGCCACTGCAATGTTGGTGTTATGCGTGTGCCGCACTTATTCTGTATACAACACAGAAGATACCCACTAAAGAACATTAGTTATAAATATCCTAGCCAGATAAAATAAGGTCAAATGTAAGTATTGTTTCCATGAGGTTTCCAATCTCAACAGCTCACCTTGCAAGAGAAGCTAAATTTCATCTCTCCCGGATATTGACCCTGTGCTTGAAGCAGGCCCCCACAAAGGGGTAGAAACGCACTGGTGGACAGGCCCTCACCAGATACATAGGTGACCTGGCCATTTGGAAACTGCAAGTCCATGAAAGACTGCATATATAGAAGAAGGAAAAACGTTTCAGAAGCCAGTCCAAGTTACAGAAAATTTATATAGCAGCAATATGGTACACCGGCAGTGCATCTAACATCATCATAAACAGAGAAGCAAAATACGACTACGGTAACAAAATTATGAATTCTGTATATATGCAGGATTTAACAGTTATTTTTCTTTTTAGCAACTAGTCCATTTTATTTTTGGTTTCTCTTTTTGTTTGTATACACAGTTGAAGACACAGCATGGACAATACTTTTTCACAAGGCAACACATTTCCTGCATTTCTCCTTTTCCTTTCATTGTTTTATTTCCATCTGAACATTGATAGAATATAAACATTTTCCCTCATAATAGGGAAATACCATTGTCCCTCTTAGTTCCATCTCTCTATTATGCCTTTTATTTGTTTTGTCGACGGATGAGGAGATACATGAGAGCAGTTTATTATATAATTGCAGTTCACAGTATTGTAGAATTTTGCAGTTGGTATGCTAATATCTTGTCAGGGACAGTAAGTATATATTTACTACAGGGTTAACTCAGAAATGTGAAAAAGGAATACACAATTTATCGCGCAGTAATAAGATCACCCAGACAATCCAAAGTTCTATTTTAACATTACACTGATCAAGTAAATGATGGACTGTCTTACACAGGCCAATGGATTGAGGCAGATCATAGACATTAACAGCCACCTTCTATGCTTTGACCACACAGCTGGACAAAGGGAATGCATTCCATTCTGTTCAAATTATTAAATAAATAATAAATTTCATTTCAGAGAAAATAGGACATGAGAGGAGAACTTGGTGAGTACTAATCCGAAAAGAAAAAATTCAAACACTTCATTAAAGAATTACAGGAATTAGCTTTCAGTTAGCAACTTTTTAATAACACTTACAGGATAAAATAATAAGCAAGGTCTAATCGTGATCCTAGTAAAAGAGTGGTCAGAACTGTCATTAGTTTTTTCCTATTGGAAACAGCTTTTAGTGCAAAGATGTCAGGTTTTAATTTGTTAAATCCACTAAGGAGCATCAATGGATGTAGGAACTAGTATTCTGTATTCATAAGTACAAGTAGTGGGTAGTCCATGAATTATGAAAGAAGAATCCCACATAATCAGATTCCACTATCCTTTATGGATAAAAGATTTCCAATGTTAAAAAATGGGGTTACGTCCCTACGTATGGAGTTCACTGTGCAAAGCGTCCCAACATTGCATTTTTTCATAGGATGTTTTGCACAATGAAATCCATACGTAGGGACATTATGTGCTAATAACCCTATTAAAATGCATAGATATGCAAAAGCAGTTTTAAATACAAAACAATGGAAATGTTCATTTTTAACCATTTATGTCAAAAAAAATAAAAATTAAATTTAATGCAGAGAGCATCTTGGGCTTCACTAGCTTAAAATATCAGACAATCATAATTTTAACAGTTTTCTTCGGACAACACACAAAACCTTTCCAGTTTTTCATTTTAATCAAAACTTAGCGATCGATCACTTTCGCATTGAGGTGTAAGCTTGTCATACCTTCCTGTCGTAGCCATACCAAAGCAGGTGCTGCTTTGACAAGTGAACAGGCAAAAGGAGAGTTGAATCACGAACAAAAAGTATAGGTCCGAGCTGGATAAGGAACAAGGATGAATTCTCATTTCCTGATGTTGAACTTCCTTGTGAGGCCTCTACTCTCCATAAATCTCCCCTAGCAACCAAAGAACTTTCCACATTCCTTGTTCTAATGTCATATGTCGTCGTGAAATTGATTATACCCTGCAATGGTGAAACTAAATGATTAAAGCTGGGAAAGATACTAGTTAGAAAAATAAATTATAACGTGCATCCATGTTTTTAAGGCAAAATTCAATAAGTCCCAGGGAGCTTTTAATCATCATGTACCAACCATCACAACAATTATATAACATCTATCATATATACTTATCTATTGAAGGACGTTTGAGAGGATAATTATTTATTATCTTTGCATCACTTGGTTGATGGATCATAAAATAAAAATCACCTAAATTGAGAAGTTATTATTGCAGAAATATGTAGTTTCTTTATTCATACTGACTCGTAAACAACAATTAGATAACATTACCACAGCTTGTTCTACCGCAACATTCCGTTGTTTGGGTTTATGCATGATGCCATCAAAACCAGAAGTAATGCATAAAAATAAAACATGGCCTCAGAAAATTACCTGTGATCGACCAAACTTTTTCAATGCCTTCAAGTTAACACCAAAAATCTCCTCCTCAGTCACCCCCTCCGGGACCTTGTCATTTTCAGGGAAACCATAATCCTTAAACCCTTCTGCCAATGATCCCAAATCCTCCTGCAGATGATTAATACTCAAATCAATCCCCTTCTGGCAATTACTCTCTGTTCGCAATGACAACCCCGCGTTCTCATCATGCCAGAATGGCAGGGGCAACCGTCTAAAAAACTGCTGAACCACACCATTCAAACACGCCCCAAAATCAGCTCCCGCTTGTCCTATTCTGTTCCCAATATCAAAAATAGCCGACACACCATTAATCCCAGAATTGTCCGCCACCAATCCAAAGTCTTTTTTCATGAAATTCTGAGCTGCAAACTCGACTTCAAATAGGTTGGGCGTTGGAGGATTGGGCCATTGAAAAGCAGGTGGACTAATATGAGACTGAATTAAACCCGTAAAACCCTGCGCAAGCCTGTCGGCTAAGTCTTGGCCGTGCCGCTGCACCTCCTCCCATGCTTCGAATGATCTCTCCACGGACATCATTCGTGCGAACTTCCACTTTCAAAACCCTTAAATTTCTCTCTAATCACAAGTCAATTAAAACTATATTCAAATTTCTAAAAACGCAAATCAAAAATACCCAAAAGCTCCAAATCACGAGATCGGAAAGGCAAAAATATGGACTTATTATTAGTTCAATATATGTATATACACCGCGTTTTCTCAGCTACAAGAAAAATTATTCTTCAACCAACAGCAGAACTGAGCTCACATATCCCGATTCAAAACAAATAAAATAAAATTCCGATGATTGACTAAGAAATGGAAATTTTTTACTAGATTATAATTCTTGCAATAACAGTAAATTAGAAATTACAGTCAGTAGAACCCAAAAAAATAGAAGAAGAAAAAAAAAGCAGAAAACAGAACTGGTGATGGTTTTAACACAACTGATCTTTTCAGTGTGTATGTTAGAGAGAGAAAGAGGAAGAGAAGAGAGAGAGAGAGAGAGAGAGAGAGAGGATATGCTCGTTCCGAGGGGAGAAGAAGAGGGTATGCGTAGTACGCACAGCGTTTACTTTAACGCCACGTTGATTGTAATCGTAATCCAAAATGGCTATGGCCTATCGGAATAATTCTATTTCCCAAACAAGTTATTTTCAGGGAAAATTTCAACTTTAGTCCTCCATTTAATGTTTCAATAGCAACTTCATCTCTGGACTTTAATAAAGAACAAATTGATCTCCAACATTTCATATAAATGTAAAATCAGTCTCAACTCTTAGCCATCCCACCCCCTTGTCCCGCCTCATTGGGGATTTTTAGGATATTTTTTTGAAGTACGATTTAAATTTGAATTCAAGATGGGGACCATATTCTCCCCTTCCCGAGCACGACGGGGAAAGGTGTAGGAATTTCGACATCTCTAGTCCTTAGATTAATTGTGCAGCTATAATAAAAAGTTGAAAACTTGTTTCTATTTAAAGTAATAGCTTTGTGGATAATTGTGCAATTGTCTCATATTAAATCTAAAATCGCATTTAACATTAATAACAAATTTAATGAGATTAGCTTTAATTCCTACAAAGCGTGCTTTAATAGGACCGACACATATGGGGCCCACATAACATCCCACTTATGTACATTAAAAAATAGTAATAATACTAGAATTTTTATGTGGGCCATCTTTGAATTGAATTGATAGTTATAGCACCTATATAGTAGTGTTTGGTTAAGCTTAAATGCACACTAAGCCATGTTTGGTGAGTATTAAAATCAAGATTTTAATTTTAGTCAAAGTCAATACTTAATTTTGATAATATATTTCACGTGACCAACAATTTTTCAATCATATGTTGTCATTTTTTATCAAAATCTATTTAAAACTTTATTTTAATCTCCACCAAACAGGGGATAAGTATCCGATTTCTATACTTTTGCAACTCAAAATAGATAAATTATAAGCTTATGAAATAATTGTGGTTGGTACTTTAATTTTCTAAAAATCAGCTTTGAAGTCTGAGAATATTTTAAATAGAGCTCGCAATTGAAAACAACAAATCGCGCCCTTAATGTTACATTATGTAACACTTTGCATATCAATTTTTTTAACAATTTGTTTATTTTCCAAATATTTGATTACCATTTTATTTTCATTTAATATTAATGTTTTAACCCTCAGGGGTTGCTCAATTGGTCAGATTTTGGGTTTGCTTCCAAATGGTCACCAGTTCGAGTCCCCTCAGGGCCACTGAGGTGAGTACCAACCGTAAATTTCAGGGTTTCGTGGAATTAGTCGAGGTGTGAACAAGTTGGCCCGGACATCCACGGTTATCAAAAAAAATTTAATATTAATGTTTTTTTCCTTTTTCTTATTTATTTATTCCATCAAAAATTAACAAGCAGTCAAGTTCTCTCACTGCTTAAATGAACTAGAAATTCTCGTCAACCTCCCTATACGGTTCGAAATTCATACAAAAAGTAAAGAGCGTCTTCAAACAAGTTACTCATCAACTTTATTTAATTTGATTAAAATGTCTAGATAGTTCGCCAAAAAAAAAAACATAGGAGAGAAGGGTATATTTATTTTTTAAAACTGAAAAATAGACATTATTGACAAACCAAAAATTAGTAAAAAAAAATCATTTTCTCAGTGTCCTATAGAGAATTTCCTGTAATGAAAAATGAAGTTGACTTGCAAAAGAATATGCTAAATTTAAATAAATAAATGCATCTCAAAGAGTCAAAAAATATATATATAAGATAATAAGAAATAATCCTTACATTTACTTTAAGCCTTTTACTGCCTGCATCATTTTCACACCCAGTTTAATTAAACAAGCCTGAATTAATACATGCTCTTCCTCATTGTCTCTGGGCTTTAAAGTATGTTCACAGAATCCAGATATCTCTTAAAACAACTGAACCCTACAACATATAACCATCTTTAGCTGCACAAATGAATTTCACAAAGTAGCTCACTGTGAAACACGATGACAATCAAGGGCCTTAGCCAAAAAAAGGAACGGGAAGGAAAAAATATATATATAAAAATGCTACTGGTGGAAACGATGAAATGATAACTAGTTTTGCTTAGTTATCCTCTTGTCCCTTATCGGCAACTCAACAGGTTTCTGTGCCTCGTGAGGATGGGTTGGACCGGTGTACACCTTGAGGTGGTTGAATAAAGCTCTACCAAGCTGCACGAGCACCAGAAGAAACATTTATTAAAATTAGTACAGGCAAGAAGAAATATATAGGAGGTTAATTTACCTGGCCATTATGCAACATTTGACCTTGTTTGAGCCACATTTTATCAAAAACTCATTTTTTTCAAAACTCATTTCCAACCACTAACTTTTCCAATAAAATAATTTTACACGTAAACCGAAAACTCACATTTAACTCTCTGATGCATAAATGACTTTTGCCTTCAACAAGCAATTCAGGCACCCATCCACCCTCACTGCCTTGAGAAACAACTGCTTCCAACACGACAATGATCGACAACAAATTTCCTTTTATATATTTTATTTCTTCTGCTTCAGCTCAGGGTTTGCTTCTTCACAATTAGCCTTTCTTTTTAGCTTAAACGTATTTATCTGCTTAATGTCTTGCATTATTAGCAATTGCAGTGGTGCATGAGCGATTTTTCATTATTCTCTTCTAGTGTTGGTTGTAAGGGAAGAATGAGGCAGCGGCGATGAGGAACACGGTGGCAGTGGGAAGGTGAGTTGGCCAGAAATTTTCAGGAAAAAAAAAAAGGAGAAAGAAAGAGACTGATCATAGCGCTTTTGTCACTCCAATTCAGATTTATTTTGACATATGAGACATTAATTCCTTATATTTAAATTGATGTCTGAAAATTAATGTATAAAAACGAAAAAGAATCAAACTGACGCACAAGACAACCATGCGATTTCTTTTATGAACTTGCATATCAAACATAACATTGAAGAACAACAAGTCTTCAACGAACTCCAGAAATTTTACACTCGCTGTAAGTTGTTCGCTCTAAATATAAAAGAAGGGCTATAAGGACAACTTTAAAAGTATGAGGTGGTTAATAGCTGCTTTTGTCGCCACGTGGGGGTTGATAGCATTTTGGACAAGTGATAACATTTAGATTTTAGCTTCACGAATTATCATAGAGACACAAATCTAGTTTTCAGTGATTGAATTCAGACAGTGCAAATTCAATTTGCAATTCTTATAAACTAGAAACTCGATGCATTTATTCCAGCCCAGGTTGTTATAGATATGCAACAAAATGCTGTAGCACTGATGATGTACATAAATTAATATAAATAGCAGGAAGGCTACATAAGAAACACTGATATTTTTATAGTACTCTTCTTAATAAACTACCAAACAAATCCTACTTAGCTAGGTTCACAGAGAGAGAGAAAGAGAGAGAGAGAGAGATGTCACAGAGAGTAATAGAAACTCACCCTCCCTTTCGGAAGCATTCCACGGACAGCATGCTCAATAATTCTTTCAGGTATTCTTTTCTGAAGCTGATCAAATGTTTCAACTGTCATCCCACCAGGTCTCCCTGAGTGCCTCCTATAGAGTTTCTGAGTCCTCTTTTTCCCAGACACAGCAACTTTCTCGGCATTGACCTTTGATGCAGTAATTGAATGATTAAGCATTGAAGATAAAATATGAAGAAATAAATTATTTCCCCTTCTAATAGTTTAAGCTTTTATATGAGGTGGTTTAAAACGATATCAAAGCATACAAGGTTCTAGGTTCAAGTCTCATTACCACCCATTTATTAAAGTTCCATTTATTGGGTGTTTGATTAGAAAACGAAAATGATGTGTATTACATGACGACATACCACTATGACAAAGGCCCCCATGTCTACACTAGGAGTGAAGGTAGCCAGATTTTTCCCTCTAATATAAATAGCAATTGTTGACGCCAATCTCCCAAGAATCTTGTCAGATGCATCTACCACATACCATGGTTTGTCTGTATTAACATGATCTGCAGCTTTGGGATACCATGTTTTATTCCAAACATCCTGAAATAAGAAAACAACTATAGATGGGTTTCAACGTCTTAACTCCATTGGATTCTGAAAGAGAAACATATGTGCATGTGTTCATGAGCTTCATAAAAATTCAAGGAAAAGAAACAGAGGCATGTGCAAAAAATGACTACAGGTCGAATCTCAAAGCCTGGGAATAAAAAAAGAATAAAATCCAGTTAATGCATGAGATACCTGTCAAAAAGCATATTTGGTGATAGATTATTAACCGTAGAACAAAATGATACAGACTTAGTGAATTATAAGGAAAAATAATGCATATTTCTGCCAAGATTCGACTGATAAATGTTCTGTACCAAACATTTACATCTTAAAGTGGAAAATGCACTTGACGTTGTTGTTTGCCTTCACCCGAAAGCAGAGCAAATACTTCAGCCCAATATGTTGGACACAAATGTAAAGGAAGTCAAATTCATTGTAAATTATTACCACATACACCATATAAAGTGCTTGGGATTAATTATTCAAACATATACAATATCAT